AGCACCTTCCATCCTTCGCAGTAGCTCGGTAATACGAGGTAAGTAAAAGCTATGAGTCGGCAATAATTTATTCATTGTACTCATATCTTAACATACTCAGACTTTCTTAAACGATCCGTCAGAGTTATGTTGGTCTACGGCTAGCAGTGCCAAGTTAACTGGCGTCTGTTGATAGTTAATTTCTATCATTCCATCTGCTAGCCATTTCTCAACTTGTTCTTTTACCACAGCCTCGTGTCTCCAGAATACATAGTTCCTTGAAGGACACTTTAACTGTGCAAAGTCTATCTTGGTTAAGTCAAGGCTGACACATCCGTCGTTAAAGCGGAGTTTTGCCCAATCTGTGATCTTTATCTTCTTATTAACTAAAATCAGATCCATGATTTTGTTCGCAAAGTCAGGTATTAATGCCTTGACTGTGTCTGACGGGGGCTTATATGGATTCAGACAGTTTTCGTCTGATTGATCCTTTAATGGATCTATGTTATTTGGTACACCAGTTACGGTTATACCTAGAGTGAGTAAATCGCTCATTCCGACTTTAATGTCGTACTTCTGTGACATCTTAACTATCACAGCTTGGGTAGTGATATTCCTATCATCGGCCAGGGTGATTTTAACATCTGTGGCCATTGTATCACACTTAGCAGTTTTATCATCAGCTAAAATGAGGTGAGTTGTTTGTGTTTTCCTTTCGATATTTTTCATTCCACTATGAACATAATCTGTTCTTTCAATCAGTCACTATTTGACCCTGATAATCTCTAGAGAACTGTATGGCGCTCGATCGCGGGGGTATTTTAAGTTAAGATGAAGACGTATGTATATGTAGGCTCCAGGTAGTAATGAACATCAAGTTTTGGGCCCTACAAAATGTATTCGAATACTTTATTGACGAAGGCTGTATGGCGCATTGGGAAAAACATTTTCTTGAACGACACTGGGACTATATGCCTACGCTACCATTTGTATAGAGCAAGGGATTGGCTTACATACGCGTATCCAAGTATCAGCTAGCTCTACTACGGGATGCTATTAAAATTTATTATGGTTGCCAAGTAATAAATAGTTATACAAAGATAACTGAAGACCGCCTAAAAGCAATTCTGTGTATTCCATCGCCAACAACCGCCGAAAAAAAAGGAAACGTTCTGTGCCATCATGAATTGGTGGTCACACTGTATCCCAGTCATTTTAGCGCTGCTATCGCACTTGAACTCTATAAAGTTCTCTCTCCACTACTCAGCTTCTTGTCATGCAGCCTGCACGTTCGTAAATGATGTGTTAAAAGGAACATCCATGTTGGTCGGGCCCGACTCTTCACACGAACTTTATCACTTCGTTGATGTATCTAGTATCGACGTATGCTCCGGCCTATTTATTCAAACAGCTCGAGAGGGTGAAATAGCTTCGTCATTTCCAACAAGCTGGGTTTGACCATTTAGTACTGTGTTCTGAAGAAGCTGGCAAGGCCCTTTATTCACCAAAACTCCTGTCTTCATAAGTCAACCCAGTATTTTCAAAACGAATCATCGGCTCTACTTTCTCCTCTGTTGGTGCCGACCAGGAAGTATCCCCCTACACAACAGTTGCTGCCAACCCCACAAACGCAGGACGAAAGGAGAGCTACTAACTGAATATGAACAGTTATATTTCAAACCAGCCATGGCTATATCATGCCCAACAGGCTTAAACGCAAATCAGTTCAAGTCCTGGTGTATCAAATGCTAAGTTTCAGGTCCAAATTCAAAATTCTTGATATTAGAGTCATCAGAAATTGGGACGTAGAACCAGGAAATGATACTGGGACCCCGCATGTAAGTTAAACACTTTGCGAGTTTAATGAAGAAACATAAAATACAATTAAAGACATTAGGAATCCCGCAGCCTATGACTTTTACCTAGCTGAGAGGTTCGCACTTGAGAATATATTTCTTATTTTATCTGTTCGTATCTAATGAGTCACCCTCACATAACAAACATTGAAAGTGAGCACATTCTAAATCAGAGTACGAAAGTAAGCAACGCATGGCGCAGGTCGTAGCAGAAGTGATCACAAACAGTGACATAGAGTGATGAAGCACTACAGACGGTCCCCAAAGCTATAAAATACAAGCAACCGGAGTCATAATGTGGCTTTCGATAAGTTCAGGGAAATCGCGAGTCTTGAAAGAATATCTTAAAAACGCGCATTGTCAGGGTCTATAACTGTTGTGTGCACATTATTCAAGCTCTAAGAGACATAAATAACATACTGTAAGTGTGCAATGAACACCGAGGCAAGCTCATCCCGCAGTTACAATATTTATATAGTGAAGGTCAATACAAATAAAATCTTCTTTCGGGTTGAGTATCTATAGTAATCAACCAGCGTTCTATCTTAAATTTGTGCGCACAAGATTTAAGTTTGAAGAGGACATATATAGCCCATCGCATGAGTGCAACGGACAAAGAAGTGAGCGCAGCACACAATTTCAATACAAGCAACGTAAAGGCCTTTGTAAATATGATCTTTGTTTCTGAGTGGGCATCGATAGCAACCGATCACTCAATAAGTGTTGTGCATAAGTAGTGACACATAAGGTGATACAAACACTGCACCACACTCACAAAATGAAGGTGGAAATGTAAGTCCCAGAATACCACTCAATATCGACAATAATATCCTTGAGAGACTACAGGAGTAGACGTTTTTCTAAATACTTGAAGAACGTTTTACGCCATCAGCCTGAGAGTAATTTGACTTGTTCTCAAATTAATCCATGTATAGGTGGGTCAGCTCGAGAGGACGTAAGAGTAAATTGAGACTTCTGCTCAGGTTTTTCTATTCATAGGACGTGGGCCACCGGCTAGCCGAGAGCCGAGGCCCGAGACTGAGAGTACGTAACACTGTAACAGAGAAAGTGATATATTTATTTTTAGAAATGTATCCGAGTATTAAAAAGTCCTGCATAAGGTTTCGCTTTTACCAGTTGTGTTCATGACATAGACTACCACTGCACGACGCAACAAACAGAGAATTGAGGCACGGCTCAATACTCTCTGCAAAGGACTCAATCACCCCTATACTCAGAAATAGATCAAGTATAGAGTATTGCACACAATACATAACGTAAAAATACGAAACAAAACAGCGAGAGTACTACACTTCAGCATCAAGCAAGCCCAATCCAGGTTAAAGACTTCGTTCTTGCTGTATTCAGAACAAGAACAAAGCACGCACAAACCAAAACAATTAGTGTACGTACACCTGGAGCAGGGGGTACACACACATACAAATTATCGAACTTTCAGAATACAGAGGTTCCGATACACTTCCAATGAGGCCCAAACAAAATCAAATACAAAAACAACTTAGCCTGTGAAACAACACAACCCAATTTTACACACAGAAACGAAGTTTGCGTTTTACCACCAAATAAACTGACATACACCAAAGTTTACAAACAAACAAATACATAATCCCTTCACACGAACCCAAGGTTCGTTAATTAGATAGAATCGCATCATGCTCACAGGCAAAAGTCATATCCGAGGCCAAGACAAAGATAAGCGTCTACACTCACCATAAACATCAGTAAGTGTTCAAGACTGTGTGAACGTGGGGATGGAATCGAGTTCTATTTTGAGATTCACGGCAGTACAGCACAGAAGCAAAACAGTTCACGTGTACTCACACCACAATGTCCGCTCAACACTGATCAATGACGTCTTCTCCTTATCAAACGAGAAGATTAGCACGGCGAAGTGTAACAGAATAGGTGCACACCGCTGCTACACAATGCAGTCAGAAGTCAAAAGGGGTGATATATCGCCATGGACAGATCATAAAGCATTATGTCAGATGAAGCAACAGCAAACTGCTGCACCCCATGCTAGTAGAGTGGATCGCAAAAAAAACACTTCACAACCACTACTCGATTATACATGTACCAGGAACAGACAACCAAGTCGTCGACATGCTATCATGAACACGTGAACGTATGTTCAATATCAAAACATAAAATGGATTGAAAGAAGCCACCACGAACACATACAACGATCAGGAAGAAACTAACCACGATTTTACAAAGAAACAGAACGACGGTTTGGGAAATCTACAGTCGACTTATTTGCGGCAGCACATATTGCACACACAGCCAAGATCTACACGAAAGAACAGAATGTACTACTTCAAAAGTAGGCAGATGAAATAAATGCGTGGGCAACTCGACATTGTGAGTTCATCCCAGAAGTTCTCGATGAAATAAAAATATCTCGGCTGTATAAACCACCGACGAGTCAGCAGGGACACAGTCACATACGACGAATTTTCTACTCTCATAGCACTATACCACACAGTGGGTCACAACACAGTGGAAGAAACGATGAACAAGCAATATGTAGACGGTCATACATGGTCATGACAGAAAAAAGGTAGATACATTGAGTGATGTGTGCCATGTCTCAAAAAGATCGACTCTCCTGATTTTCTTCAGTCATTTTTACCATAGCACTGTTGTGCCCGGTGCGTTTACTGATGTATGTATTTAGTTATTTGATTTTTTCTGCGTCCAAAGTACACATTGAATCGAGAGGTCCATGCCCTGCTTAATGAACGTAGATTGTGGCCAATTTGCATAAACGAAAGCCGTTGGCGTCAGTGCCGGAATGGTGTTCAACGAAATTTCTTAATAGTGATATCTCTCTGCGATCGTTCTTTTGTTCCCATCATCTTATATTGGTATGGTCTGAACAAAAAAGTATTTCAATAAGGGCATGTTGCTGATAAGAGATCTTTTGCTTGAGAGGCAAACTCTATTATGTCCCGACAATCAGACTTACTGAGTTTTTATTGGCTGGCCATTTGGGGAACCCACACAGTTTGAGTAACTTGTTATGAGATTTTGGTGCCTACACGTAATAAATCCACTGACTGCAACGCACTCATCGTGATCGTCTTTCTCACAGGCTCATGGTTTTATCGTGCAGTTCTGACGACCATTGATCTACATTTGGGATCAATCTGGTTGGTGCGTATGAACAATTACTTGACTGAGTTTGTGGAACACTCCAATATCTATGGTCTCGTTCATCTTTTGTGCATACAGTTTGTCCTCCAGGATACCTACAGTGCATGCATTGCCGCTCTTTGGTCGTTCTAAAGGGATGGCATGTGGGGTAGCGTCTGACTTTATGGCTCCTTCTTCCATAGCTGGAGTGGTTATGCCTATTGCAGTTCGGGCTGTCGGCATTGTGTTTGTTTGAGTTGATGAAGTTATGGCTGGCCTATTTGCCCCTACTCATTTATGTACTTACTGCCATCGGCTCATTTTATCGTACTTACTATATACTCTAGGCACCATGTCGATATCACACAATTAAATAAATTTTCCCCTCCGATCAGCTTATTGGAATTATCTAAAACGAAACAATCCACACATCCGATCAAAGTGGCCACTACGGTCGATAGATTGACAGTCCTCTGATGGAGGATAGGTCTGCTCCACACCCATTTTATGTTCTTTATGCGTGATGATGACACAAGAAGTGTAAACTTATTAGCCGACGCAAACACGACCAAGAACAGTAGCACCTTCAGAAACAGATGAGTACACGACAGTGCGGAAAGATTATTTTTAGGAGTGCTTGCTGATTTGTTGGGTCGTCACGCATTTTCCGACATTGCTTGAATTTTAAAACTTGCAATATTCAAGTTTTCCTGCGGGCGAACGTCACGAGTTGCTATTTCGTTATATTTCTACCATTCTATATTTAGTTTGTTATAGATCTTACCAAAACCTATTGTATTGCGAGACCAAAACCAGAAGCATACTTGGATACCTCAAAACGAGTGGTGATAAAGGTTTTGGTGGAATATCAACATGGCAATAAATTTGAAAAGTCACGCATCAGTATCTATCAAACTGTACAACCAATATCAAATGATAGGGCTACTGTAATTTCTCACTTGCAACTACATCGCTGAGGTTTATTTAGAATTTCGGCTTGAGAGCAGTCGAAGTGTCACGCTGTATTCTCATGTAGAGATTGTGATTGATCGAAGGTTGTAGATTCTAGTACTAGAGCGCTCACGGCCAAATGAAGTTCAATATGAGCAAGTAAATAACTTCTCTGCATAACACAGTCTATAAAGCTAACTGCCCTTTCCAAGGGGTTCAATGTATATATTATACACGTCGCAGCTTCCTGTATATTTTTTGATTCGTTCACACACGCCTCTGCTCCGTGTTTACATAGACACGATTGTATGTCATTGAGCGTTCAGTTGTTATAATCCAAAGTCCAGCCAGGGCAAGTAAGCGAATCTTGAACAGAGTTATGCAGAAAATGCATCGCTCCTGCCTTAACAGTTAAATTGTATTTGATAATAATCAGAGCGTATTTCTCGTTTTGTCAATACAGAGTATAATATCCACCATTTGAACTATCACTGCATATATCGCACATTCAGGGTACAAAAACAGGGAGGCGTGTCTTCAACACGCATCTTGTAAGCAAGTACCTTAATTACCTACAAGGCGGTTTACTTGGCAGCTCAGATTGTTGTATTTGCGTATCAAGCTTCGAGCCACAATGGCGTGAAATCAGGCGCATGGTTGGAAAATTGAACGATGGATGAGTATTCATTGTTTATTATTTTTATTGAGCTGGCTATATTACGCCTGCATCGCTTGCGTTGGCCCAAAGAACTCAAAGTGTATCTGTTTCTCAGGAACACCCCACTCCGTAAGGCCGTTGTAGATCTGTTTCATGAAGGGTTGTGGGCTGGAGATAAAACAACAAAAATGATAATAATAAGTATTCTGGCACGTTTAATGAATTGCGGGAGTCCTGAGCATTTTTGAGACTTTTGACCGAGTCCGTGATGACTAACGAATCTATAATGCCACGACAACTAGAGCAAAACCTACAAGGCAGCGCTGTGTGACTCCAATGCAACTATTTAGATCAGAAATCTACAAGACGCAATACTGCAGGTCAAGTACAAATATTGATGTACGAAATCGTGTGCACTAAAAAGAAAGCGAGGCTTTCCAAACGTGTATGAATTACAAGGCAGCGATAAAACACTATTACTATATTGAGTGCTACGTGCTACACAGTTGTAAATCACGTGGAGAGCTGAAGCCTAGTTGCCTCGTATCTCAATGCACCCTTGATACACAGGGACAGAGGCAACTGTCAGGGTATACCGAGCAATGGGCACTCACGTATTCCAGCACCAACCTAAACTGCACCCGTTACAATACATGAGGACATACATACCCACAGAAGTAGAACTCCTGGTCTTTACTGGTAAGGGCTCTCTTCAGGTGATCGATTGTGATAGGGCCCTTGGGATAGGAATCATTTGGTGGCTCGTCATAGAGGAAGTGTACGCGCACGTTCATCTCGCGGCTACCAATCTAGGATCGAGGAAAGCACCGATGACGATGTTAGGCTAGAAGACATTTGATTATAGATGAAGATGTTAGGTTAGAAGACATTTGATTGTAGATGAAGATGTAAGTTAGAAGCCATTTGATTATAGATGCAGGTGTTAAGTCCGAAGACATTTGACTATAGATGAAGACGTTGAGTTAGAAGCCATTTCACCTTACTGCATGTAAATGTCGTTTCCACGGTGAAACAGAGCCTTGACAACTGGAACTTAAGCCACGTACACATGCACGTATACTTCAGAAACTCACCTCCTCGATATGTTTGTGCCATGCCTCGACGCCCGCGTTACGCACAGCGCTGAACATTGTGACGTGATTGTTGAACTTATTCTCCACCAGATGATCCAGCATAGCCACAATGGGGGTGATACCTACCCCACCCGACAGCAGCACAATGGGTTTGTCACTACCTTCCTTAAGGAAGAAGTCTCCGGACGGGACGGACAGTTTAACAATGTCGCCCTCTTGCAGCTTGTCATGCACCCAGTTGGATGCGTAACCAGCAGGACACAGACCGTGAGCTTCTTCACGCTATGGGGTGTATAGGATATGTTATGTTGTGTAAGTGACTTGAAATGGATCATTCTGAGGTATTCTGTACATAAGCATCCGATTCATCAGGTTGGGAAGAACAGAACGCGAGATTCAAGGGAAAGTACAAGGACAAAGCAACCCATACATGCGTCAAGCAGACCCTGACAGGGTTCGATATCCCAACAGGAACTCATTCCGAGACAACAGCTCAAAAAACGTCAATGTTAAGACGCCATCAGCATACGCACGTAGTTTTTCCTCTCACACAGTCAAACCTATACCTTGACAATCACTCACCACTCCTGGCTAGCTCTCGCAGACAGCAGGCAGTATAATCTACGCTATGATATACCCGCACCCATTCGAAGACCAAATATAAAATGCTGGCAAGTATAAGAAAACGTATGCACTTGGTAAAGCCTCCAGGGTAGTTAGACGACACCCATAGCGATAAATGTCATGTAGTAGGATGGTTCTCCACCAGCTTCACATGTGCCAGACACCAGGTATATACGCACTCATGGCGACACCTCTACAAATACACTCTGTATATAATACATCCTTCATACACAACAAAATCTTCATGCAAACACTTCGCATACACATAGCACCCATCCACATACACAGCACATTCAACACGCCTACCCACGCGCACACCACGCAACACACCTTTATAGAGAGGCGGTAGTAGTCGTCACGGGGTGCACTGGAAAGCGAGTAGTTGCGCTGTGTGGCATGGTCTCCATTCTCAATGCGAATGCCAATGTACTGTCCTGGTTCGTACTTGACCACAGGCCCCCCATCCTCGGGCTTTAGTATGAGTGACATGATGTTGCCGCTCTCTCGCTTCTTGAGGTCCACTACAAAGTTTCGCCAGTGACGCCAGCCTGTGTGGGAAGGGTTGGCGGATATGCTTGTTGCTCAGTGCCAGGTGTCAAGTGGTGGATGGTTTGTACGTGTAGGCGTATGTGACTAGCCTTAGGGTGTGTTTAGAATTTGTAGGGTTTAACCTTAGCTTTAGTTTGGTTGGAGGGTTTGTAGTCGTGGTTTCGGATTGGAAGCGAACGTGAGAGTGACTGAGAACATGCATGTGTGCACGGATGCGTTGGAGTATGAATACGATCGATTTAAACGTACAAGTATGTATTTTATGTACGCGGGTCTAGGGCAACCCCAGGGTAGGTACAGTATGCACGTGGCAGACAGAGTACAGCTGTCCGGCATATATAAAAATATCGATAAATAGATATGTAGATAGATATAGATATACATACATACATATACACAAAACAAATAAATGTACGTAAATGCGTGTATATACATGTAATAAAAATATGTACACACACACATTTATATATATATAAAAGGTTATACATACGTATATACACAATGAAAAAACTCGAGGTTCATGTCGATATTTAAGCAATACTGCATAGTATGCTGTGCATATGCTTTTTTGAGCATATAAGTGCTAAATATAGTGTTGACTACGACATATATATATATATAAATATACACATATACGTATATACATATACACGTATATCCACATTGCATATACTTGTACACAGCTATAAATATATATTAGATACATGTATGTATTGATGTATTAATGCATATTATGCCTTATATACGCTAGTGTCCGTGCGCAAGTAATATTCGTCGACTACGTGTTTACATATACATACTCTTATATATCTACATGTACATATATACACATATTGAATATACTAAAAAACAGTTATAAATATACAATAGACACATGTATATATCGGTGCATTAATGCATTATATGCCGTATATACGACAATGTGCGTGCAAGTAACACCTTTTGGGTTGGTTACAACGTAGTATAGGTGTATGCATGCAGCAGGCAAGCAAAGTATAATCTATACAAATTTGACCATATGTGCAGCTACAAATATACATGTATTACTCGGAATATGTACACGCTCTCAACACAGCAGTACCGCACTTACCACCTGGTTGGTTGGGCTTCTCAGCCAATAAGGTCTGCCTAAACACATACGCATCCACACACATATATGTATGAAAATGTATATAAATATATAAATCAAATAGATACATGTATATATTGAATTATAAATGCACAATACAGCAATTTTCATAACATACGCAATTTTGGGTGTGCAAGTAATCACTTTAAAGTATTGATTAAAAAGTGTTGTAGGTATGTGCACACGCAAAATCGGCTGAGTAAACCATACAAATATGAACATAATCAAAGATGCAAGAATACATGTCATATTCGCAGGTTGTTGAGTATTCTCGCCCATAAAGGTCAGGTTGTACATATATACATAAACACACACACACAGGTATATACAATAGACACTCGTATGTATTGTATTATTAGTTCATAATATACGCAATTTTGAGTGTACAGGTAGTAACCTATGTATTGACTACAAAGTGATATAGGTATGTGCATAACATATAAGTAGATCGATTGTATAAACAGTATATCTAGGAACATCAATGTAGCTGCAAGTATAGAATCATGACTTGCAATATGCACACGCTCTTGACACAACAGCATCGCACTCACCATCAGGTTGGTTGGCATTCTCATGCACTTAATATGAATATATATTCATTTCTAAAGGTATAAATGTATATATTAGATACACATAACTTTCCGTTTGCAAGTAATGCCTCAAGTATTGACTATAAAGTGTTATAGGTATGTGCACACAGTAAGAAGCGATTGTATAATTGTAGCTGCAGGTATACATGTATTACTCACAATATATATACGATACGCTCTTGGCAAAGTAGTACCGCACTTACCACCAGGTTGGTTGGCCTTCTCAGCCATCAAGGTCTCCTCTCGCTGAATGAACACCCACGCCAAGAAACCATACGCTTCTTCCCATGCAGCCATGATCTCAGGCGTAGCTGCGTCCCCCAATGTGTCCTTGATAGACCACAGTAGGTTCTCCCCTACAATGCCATAGTGTTCGGGCAGTACGTCTAGACTCACGTGCTTCTGTGCAATGCGTTCAACGGCTTCGGCCAGCATGCCCAGGTCGTCAATGTAGAGTGCGTAAGCGTGTACGGCACAACTCAGTCCCCATGGCTATGGGTATAGAATAGGTGCAGTTTGTAAATACGTTAAGCCATACGCCATTCACTTTTAGAATGAACAATTCAGAACACAACAATATATTGAATGAAACCAGGGTTCTACGGCATGTGTATAGAAGAAAAACCGCTATTACGTGTCTAGGCTTAATGCGATTCTATTCGTTGCTACATTTGTAATCTGATAGGCGGGTACAGTTTTTGACTCATAACTCACCTGCATAGCCTTTCCGTCCTTATTGGGCACTTGATGCGAGGGGTTAAATAGCTCAGCGACCTCTGGGTGGTTGGCAAACATTCTCTTGTACATGTTTGCGGCAATGTCGTATCCATGTACCTCTAGGACGGGGGCACAGCTCTTTACTATGTCACTGTTTAGGAGAAATTGAGAAGTGATGAATGCCTGGATGTTTTTGAGGGCTTCTGGATTTAAAGTGATATAGTTTATATAAGCTGAGTATGCTAGTTCTCGTGCACACGCTGTACTGTGATGGTTTTGATGGGATTTGACAAGCACGAGCTAGCAGTAGTTTAGAGTTCTAAACCCACTCAACGATATATATGTATTTATATATTCATACCTCACTAATCTACATCCCTCACTAAGTTTGTGGATTTGAATTCACCTATCCTATTGTTTATCAACAACTTAAAAAATCAAAGCTTGAATGTAAACGGCACTACACATAACGCTTCTAGAAACACTAACTTCCCATCTAATACCACTACGTTGATGATGTTAAGACATCAAGATTGAAAGAAAGCCAGTACAGATACATGTCCGATGTACAACTAAATTCAAATAAAGCATAAATAAATCAAATATCAAGGCAGGTTAAAACAAAAATAAATCGAATAAACTTAGGTTAATTCAGCTAAGTATCTACATGGGCAACGAGTGTCACATACATGGTCTTCTGCGACAACGGCGGGGCCTCCGCTTTTGGCGCTTGTGTTGCGTGGAAGAACCGGCTCATCATGCTGGTAGCGGGTGCAGCTGTGCGCAGCTGAGAAACCAGAGGACGATGGGCAAACGCCGTCCTGGCCACGGTACGTAGCGCATTCATTATTGATTATTCAAAGGAATCTACTTGTGTAGTGTGTATGTGTCTGTCCAGATACAAACCAGTGTGGAGTGTGGACTGTGGAATGAATAGCTTTGTCGGACAGTCATAAAGCTATTTATCACTTTTATTTGGTTAAAAAAAAAGAGACTGCACTGGGCCTCTGCACTGGGCCTCTGCCCTCTGGAGACATTATTACCAAATATATCCAATCCGTACGAAGATACATACGCGACTACGCGAGCGCTTGCCAAATGCCAATTGCCATTGCAGTGGCCAGTTACACTGTTGCAGACTTGAAGTTGCAGAATGCAGGATTGCAGGCCCAAGCCCCAGCGCCTACTGTGAGCCTAAGAAGGATGATACAATTTCGTTTTTACCCTCCACCGACCACCATGACCAGTCACCAGAGGCTCCGCGAGTCACTACTCACAAGTCACTACTGTCGCAACTATAACTTGAAATGTCGTTATATTTTTTTGTTGTATTTTTTAAAAGTGACGGTTTTATTTAACCAAAAGTTTTCCGTATCGTTCCATGAACCAAACGAGAGTACATCTGTATTGATTATGATTGGGTTATAATGTACCAGATGGCGGAGAAATTTCCATATTAGCTTCTATGGAATACTTATGCTCATTTTATTTTTTTATTCTTATCCTATCAAATAAAATCGGACCCGTCGGCGACTCGGCGCTCGTGCTCTGGTTTTATTTTTTAAAAATAACCAACAAGGGGTTAGATTTATTTTTATCGTTTGTGTGCAGTGGTGCACTGTGCTGGTAGTGGCATAGTGCAGCTCACCGCTGACTGCAATCCAGATATACAAACCCTAAAACCCTAAAACCATTTATTTGTGAAAAAATATTTTATAAAAACGATGACTAGTTGAGTACAACAGAGAAATCAGATTAGTTTTTTTTTAAATGATAAAATAGTAGTTAAAAAAATCAATTTACACCGACGGCCCGACGTGTCCGAAAGTACATGAGAAACTATTTATAGATATAGTACATATTTAGGTACATACTCTTGTTTTGTATTTGGGGTTTAAAAAAAAACATCCAGAAAGAACAAGAAGATTGAAGAATGAAGATTCTGTCACTAAGTCACGGACTGATGACTGATGAGGATTGAGTCTCATGAGTCATGACTCTCATCTGTAGACTGTCGTCTGTGGCCTATCCTGTGGGCTGTGGGCTGTGGGCTTGTGGCCCTGTGGCATAATCCAAGGGGCTATGCAGTTTGTATGCACTACATATGCACACACTTGTGAAAATAGTACCGTTATTGTACTGAAGTCTGGACTCTGGGGCTCTGGGGCCTCTGTTTGTTGTTTAGAAGGCTATGGTGAGTCAGCATTTATTTAGTCAATAATGACGTATGTATGGTGCTGTAAATAAATACATACTGCTTCTTGTACAGAGAGTATGTATACAGAATTTGTCTCTGCTGGGGGGAGCCTGCCGGTGGGGATGTATATTTTGGCACACATCTCAAAGATTTATGAAATCCAAATGTTTTAGGATTTGTGTATGTCACCTTGTAAATTCTTCACATGCTTTTTGCTATCCAGATATTGAATTCAAGTTCAACGAGGTGTTGCGGGTCGATATCGATGCCTTTCTGGGAGTCGGGGATTTATTCAATAGTGAACAGCTATTAAAAAGTTATGCAACTTGCACTATGCATGTCAATTCAACAGTAGATAGAACCATACTTATATTGAATCTAATATGTATCAATGAACTTCGTATAATATCACATGCTAACGATGCAGTTTAGTCTCAGGCATCTATTAAGAGTGTACAGTACATGACTAACAACAGATTTGAGTTTACATTGAATTGCCTAGTATCGTGTATTTATAGAATTGCAGATTCGTGTCGACAACATGTGTGACGATTATGATAACACACATGGTAGCATATCCTCTGGAAATAAAAATTTACTCACAGTGAGCATGGAAATTATATAAGTATACACGTGTGAATACAGAAAAGGCTAAAAGTATGGCCGGAATTCCAGGTTCCAATAAATCCAAACTAAGAGGGAGAATTGCTAAACCACATGACAACAAAACAAACTGTAGATAGCGTGTATATGGAACGTCGAAAACTGCCTGTAGTGAAAGGTTTCGGTGACCTTGATGCCCGTTAGTGTGTATATTTCTCGCGCGAACTCATCATTGCCCATTGGAAATTGATATGTGAATGTAATGCACGAGAGGCGGTTCGCGCGTTTTAGCAGTGTACTGTATTTACCAAGTCTCCGGAAATATATATAAAATTACTATAATATATTAGTTTGACTTTGCTTGTATTTGAAGTTCCAGATAAGACTCTCAGTCAATCATATAGGGATTTATTATAACAATTAACGTAACTGGAATATAATTAGCCAATATATAGTTATTCTGAGCAATATTATTGGATTTAGAAATCACTTGACAACAAGCAATTTTGATCGTGCATATACCGTATTATTTCGAAAAATCTCTTATCAGAAAGATCTGCAAATACAAAATTTTGTAGTGATTTCGGCTTTTTCGCACGAACTTTGTAGAAAACATAAGATATTGGTCATGATCTTGTAAATTGTGAACAGTTCAAAACCTTATTATACTCTGGGGCTCAGGTCCTGAGGTAAACTGTTCAAAACTTTCTTGGATATCACACACGTTCATACATATACACATACACATACGCAAAACTACATCCAGCAATTGATGCGTACCGTATACTAATTACAGACCAATCTTGTTTTGTGAAGCGAACGAGCATGCACATATAGGTTTATGGCATCAATCACGACTAACTAATTGCAAGCAATCACCTAAAGCGTGTGCTACGCGTAGCGTACAGATTTAGCAATATGGATAATTGTATAGTGGGGAACCGTGTGTGGCTCCAGACCAAGAAAAAGACTGCACTCAACAAGAAGGGTTATGATTGGTTGCAGGATTGCGTCGTAGAAGCATACAATGGCAGTGAAGTAACTTTTGCAACACCTGATGGCGAGGTATATATATGTATATATATATATTTAACTATATATTTGTACATACATACATACAAATACATACACACACACACACACACACACACACACACACACACACACA